AACTCCCCCCTTCCCCCCAAACCTTCTCCCCCCCCAAACCCCTCCCCCCCAACCGCTCCCCCGGCCACCCCCTCCCCCCAATCTCCCCCTCCCAACGCATGTAGCTGGGATTACAGACATGCGCCACCACGTCTGGCTAATTTTGTATTTTTTATTAGAGATGGGGTTTCTCCATGTTGGTCAGGCTGGTCTTGAACTCCTAACCTCAGGTGATCCGCCCTCCTCGGCCTCCCAAAGTGCTGGGATTACAGGTGTGAGCCACAGTGCTTCGCCCACAATCTTATCACACTAAGAAAACTGGTAACTTAATATCTAATATGCAGAACATATTCAAATTTCTTCAACTGTTCCAAAAATGTATTAGGGCTCTTTTTTTTTTTTTTTCTTTTCCAATCCAAGATTCAATCATGGTTTGTTTTTCCATATGGAACAACTGTCCGGCTTTTTGTTTTTCAGGGTATAGACATGAATTGTCTTATAGAATGTTCCTCATTCTGGATTTCTTGTCTCATGTTTTCAGCACAGTTAAGTTCAGGTTACACATTTTGGCAATAGGTTAATAGGTTATGTGTACAACTCAAGCATTATGTTAGAGTCAGACATCAGATTGTTACACCATTTTTGATACTAATTTTGACCATCTGGTTAAGGTGGTAACCACTAGATATAACATTCCTATAAAGTGCTGGTCTCAAGTTTTAGCACCCATTAATTATACTTTCCTGACATTTATCTCCCTGGATACGAACGTAGTTTTCTAATTCTATAATCTCTTCTACATTTATTATTGACTTTCTAATGAATAGCTCCCACCCACACCCACCTGCTTCCCCTCCCGCCACAGGCAGGGTCTCACTCTATCACCAGGCTGGAGTCCAGTGGTTCTATCTTGGCACACTACAACCTCAGCCTCCCTGGTTCAAGCAATTCTCCTGTCTCAGCCTCCCGAGTAGCTGAGATTACAAGCATGTGCCCCTGTGCCCGACTAATTTTTGCATTTTTAGTGGAGATGGGGTTTCACCACGTTGGCTGGGCTGGTCTCAAACTCCTGGCCTCAAGTGATCCGCCCGCCTCAACCTCCCAAGGTTGAGGATTATAGGCGTGAGCTGGGATTATAGGCGTGAGCCACCATGCCAGCCCTTACACTCACCCTTTTTTGTTATTTTACTGTAGGTGTTTTTAATTCAGTGTTTTATCACCCTTTATGGTGGTAGTTCTCAGTGTCCTCCTCAATGAGCAACATTACCTGGGAACTTGTTAAAACGGCAACTTTACTTGGGAACTTGTTACAAATGCAAATCAGAATCCGAGAGGCACCCCAGCAATGTGTTTTAACAAGGTCTCCCTCCTGGCCAACATGGTGAAACCCTGTCTCTACTAAAAATATAAAAAAATTAGCTGGGCATGGTGGTGCGTGCCCGTAGTCCCAGCTACTTGGGAGGCTGAGGCAGGAGAATCGCTTGAACCTGGGAGGTAGAGGTTGCAGTGAGCCAAGACTGCACCACCGCATTCCAGCTTGGCGACAAAGTGAGACTCTGTCTCAAAAAAAAAAAAAGTACCTGGCATGGTGGCTCATGCCTGTAATCCCAGCACTTTGGGATGCCACGGTGGACGAATCACAAGGTCAGGAGTTGGAGACCATCCTGGCCAATATAGTGAAACCTGGTCTCTACTAAAAATACAAAATTAGCTGGTTGTGGTGGTACGTGCCTGTAATCCCAGCTACTTGGGAGGCTGAGGCAGAATTGCTTGAATCTAGGAGGTGGAGGTTGCAGTGAGCCAAGATTGTACCACTGCACTCCAGCCTGGATGACAGAGTGAGACTGTGTCAAAAAAAAAAAAAAAAAAGAAAGGAAAAAAAAAGTCTCCTCCGAATTCTCACGTTGGATAACCATTGCTTTATTGTTATTATTATTTAAATTTTTGAGACAGAGTCTTTTTTTTGCATTTTAGTGGAGATGGGGGTTTCACCATGTTGGCCAGGCTGGTCTCAAACTCCCAACCCCTCAGGTGATCTGCCCACTTTGGCCTCCCAAAGTGGCGGGATTACAGGCCTCAGCAACTGCACACTGCATTATTTTTGTCCCAAATTTGGCCAGTGGACACCTGATAGGCAACTAAGTGCTTAAAAGGATGAGATTGTTGTGAAATAGTGGAAGGCACCCACTAAGTGGTAAAGTGACAAAGTTGAGAACAGGGTCGCCCTTTTGGTAAAACAAAATGAAACAAGAAAATGTTCCATAAGTTTATGTGCAGGAATAGCAAATCTAATGCCTTATTTTACATCCTGTGTCTTTTTTTTTTTTTTTTTTTTTTTTTGAAACAGGGTCTCCCTCTGTCACTCAGACTGGAGGGCAGTGGTGTGATCATAGGTCACTGTAGCCCTCAACGGCCCAAGCACAAGTGATCCTCCCACCTCAGCCTCCTGAGTAGCTAGGACCACAGGTCTAAGTCACCATACCTGGGTATTTTATTGTTATCATTATCATTTAGTAGAAAGGTCTCACTATGCTGCCTAGGCTGGTCTCGAACTCCTGGCCTCAAGCGATCCTCCCGCTTTGGCCTCCCAAAGTGCTGGGATTACAGGCGTGAGTCACCGTGCTCAGCCTATTCTTCGTCTTTTGAATTTAACTCTCCCCACCCCTCCACGGAGTTTTGCTCTATTGCCCAGGCTGGAGTGCAGGGGTGCGCTCTCAGCCCACTAAAACCTCTGCCCCGCGGGTTCAAGCGATTGTCCTGCCTCAGCCTCCAGAATAGCATGGGATTACAGGTGCCGGCCACCACACTTGGCTAATTTTTGTATTTTTAGTAAAGTCGGGATTTCACCATGTTGGCTAGGCTGGTCTCAAACTCCTGACTTCAGGTGATCCACCTGCCTCAGACTCCCAAAGTGCTGGGATTACAGGCATTAGCCACCACACCCGGCGAATTTATCAGGAACTGTATAACACTGATAATACAGAGGAAGAAAACAGCACAGTATGATCAAGTTTAACTAGGGGGCAATTCGCTGTAAAAGAACCCTTGGATCTCTTGTTCAAAGAGGTTCAAGCTACTGTGCTTGTGAGGCAAGGGTAGTTAGTGTCCCTCACATGGTCGACGATAATGAAAAATTACAATCAGTCATTTGTCCTTCATTTTCTCCATTCCCCCCACTCACTACACAGCTAAGAAAGCTCAAAGATACCTTGCAGACACTCAAAGCAGACACTTGAGGGCACCCAACTCTCAGTTACGAGTGGTGCCGGTCATAATGACAGAATGAAGTACCACTGAAAGAGACTGAAAGCGTGTGGATGTCTCCAGGCTGGAAGTCTGGGCTGGAAATGTCTGCAATGCCTCGTACTTGTGGCTCGTGGGTAACCCAGAACTTCAGAAGCCACTGGTTTCTCCGCCAAACGAAGGATATGCACCTCATGGGCTCAGATTAAAAAACTCTTCTGAACAACCTTCTAATGTTTATCTTTCACAGCCTGCCGGGCACACCCATCTTCAAACACAGCGGACGGAAAAGAAGTGCCAAGATGGAAGCACAAATGGCTGTCGCCGCGCTCCCCGCCTCCCAGCGCCAAGGCGGAATGACCACTTAGGTCAAGAGATTTTTCGCCTCCAAGCTGCTGTTCCTGGGAGGTGTCCCAGCGTCTCTGGTCTAGCCCCTAGCTCAGCACTCCATACACCCGAAGTTTAACAAAAGCTAGTCCAACTTTTTACCAGTGGTCTGCAATGATTTTCACCAGCAGAAGCTGGATGAAAGACTAGCGAGCGGTAACCACGGCAACCAAAAAAAAACCGGGCGGAAAGGGTGGGGCCCTGGGCGGAAGGGGCGGGGTTCTCAAGCCTCCCGGCGTCCATTTAGTGGCGGGAAAAGCGACTTCTCAGCGGCGTTTTCCTGCCGAGTGGTAGCCTTTCCCCTCAACCAGCAATGGAGGAGCAGCCCCAGAAGCAAGCCGCCGATCAGCCCGCGGACTCCGGAGGGGAAGGCGGGGCAGGCGGGCCCTCGCAGGTCGCCGGCGCCCAGGCGGCGCGCAGCGAGGACCGCATGACCCTGCTGCTCAGGTTGTTCCCTCCAGCTGCCTCAGCCGGAGCCAAGTGGGAGTCATGGGCCGGCGCTCCGCCTTTTGCTCAGAAGGGCTTGGGTTCGAATTCGCACTCGGTCACGTCTTGGCTCCGTGACTGCCTCATTCACTTAAGCTCTTGAAACTCTTTATTCATCGGCGAAAAGGAGAGGAAAATGACACCCTGGTAGAGAGGCTATAGGGTTAAATGAGATTGTCTAGGAAAGTGTTGAGCACAGTGCCCCGGGCCCTTAGAAAGTCCTTAGAAGCTGTAATTTCTCCTGTTTTCCCCGCCTCACGCCCTGGGTCTCTGGTTTTCAGACGAGGTGAATGTCAGCTAACCTGGAAGGAAGGTGCCCCTACCATTTTTTAAATAACTACGACCCCTTTGTAACCCAGAAGCTTTATTTGTTATTCTAAGGGTGGCTGAGAAAAAGGAGAATAGACCCAAAGTCAGGCAAGCAAGTTTTATTAACTTGCCGGGCTGCTGGGTAACAATCAGAAGAGGCAGCCCCGAGCTTACAAAACGAAGGGTTTATATGGGGTGAGAGGGGCATAAGGGAGTTTCAGGACGGAGGTCATCTATCCGGTGGTAACAGCACAGAGATAGTTTGTCAAGTTGTAACAGACCTACAACACATCATCCTATGACTTCTGTGGCGGCAGTTTTTTAAAAAAGAGGAAAAACCCTATGTGTCAAACAGGCCTTTACAAGTATGGATAATAAACATTTGTTTTCCCTGTCCTCCCTCGAGCTGAGCTGCCCGGATGGCTGTAATCAGGCTTTGCTTAATTGTAGCACGTCTGGCAACCTTGATGTGGCGCCTCCGTAGTGGTTCAGGAATGCAGCGGCAGAGCAATCAGTGGGAGGGAAGGGATCAGCTTACACGGAGGGCGTTTTCTGAGGCAGCTTGCCACTGTTATATATTCTTCTAAGGGGACGATGTTTATCCGTTTCCGCTAAGCGGTTGCTGGGGAAAATTCGATGAGAAGGGATATCAGTCTTCTAAAGCAGTGAGCAGGCGAGGTTCCTGGACGAAGTCTGCCCAACTGCCTTTTGTGTGACCACTCAAGCTAAGAATATTTTTTGTGTTTAAGTGGTTGCAGGGAAAAGATCATAAAAATATTTCATAATACATGAAATCGATTAGAAATTCAAATTGCAGTGTCCATAAAGTTTTATTGGAATACAACTTTCCTGCCACAAGGGTGGAATTGAGTAGCTAAAACAGAGACCGTGTGTGACTCACAAACCCTAAAAAATTTGCCATCAGCCCCTTTGCAGAAAAAAAATTTCAGTCCTCTGGTCTACGTCATAACAAAGGTAGTTTCAAAAAAAATCATTTTGGGCCCAGCGCGGTGGCTCACGCCTGTAATCCCAACACTGGAAGGTGCAGGCGGACGGAACACCTGAAGTCAGGAGTTCAAGACCAGCCTGGCCAACCATGGCTAACATGGTGAAACCCTGTCTCTACTAAAAATACAAAACCTAGCCAGGCATGGTGGCGCACTCCTGTAATCCCAGTTACTTCGGAGGCTGAGACAGGAGAATTACTTGAACCTGGGAGGTGGAGGTTGCAATGAGCCAAGATTGTGCCACTGCACTCCAGCCTGGGCGACAGAGCAACCTCATTACTCATTTACTTGTCCCAGAAAATAAACTCAAAAGGCAGTTTCAGAATTCTAAAACTGTCTTGCAAGTGTGAAATATTTTGTAAATACAATTTATTTGTCAGGCCGAGGCAGGCAGATCATGAGGTCAGGAGTTTGAGACCAGCCTAGCCAATATGGTGAAACCCCATCTCTACTAAAAATATAAAAATTAGCCAGGTGTTGTGGCAGGTTCCTGTAATCCCAGCTACTCAGGAGTCTGAGGTAGGAGAATTGCTTGAACCTGGGAGGCAGAGATGCAGTGAGCTGAAGATTGTGCCTTTGAACTCCAGCCTGGGCAACAGTGAGATTTCAACTCAAAAAAAAAAAAAAAGTAATAACTACCATTTTTTTCTTTTTTCTTTTTTTAATGTTTTGAAGAATGAAAAGATATCTATTTCTTTTTTATTGTCTTTTCCTCCTCACCCTTGCTGTCATCTTAAATTACCGTTTGCTCATAGTTTTTCTACTCATGTATGATTTTAGATTAATAGAACTGAAAAGCTATATGAATTACTAATCTAAGGATTGGTATCTTTGTTATTGTTAACATAACAATATCAAAGATAAAAAGAAAATCTGTGTTTATAAATAATTACAGTGGTTTGGGGTTTAATCATTTCGGTCTGTTTCTTCTTTGTATAGCATCCTCAGTTCAATCTGACCTATTAATAAAGTTAAAAGCCAGTTTTTTTAACTTTTCCTCACAGATACTGTTTTTGCTTGTAAGTCTTCCTTTGAGGCCTTGAAGTTCTTTATGCCTATTTTATTATTATTATTTTATTTTTTATTTTTGAGATGGAGTCTCACTCTGTTGACCAGGCTGGAGTACAGTGGTGCAATCTTGGCTCACTGCAGCCTCCACCTCCCGGGCTCAAGCGATTCTCTTGCCTCAGCCTCCCAAGTAGCTGGTACTACAGATGCCTGCCACCACAGCCAGCTAATTTTTTGTGTGTGGGGTTTTTTTTCTTTTTTTGGCTGTTTCCATCTTCAACATTTTTAGCTGAATTTTTGTTGTTATTGTTGTTGTTGTTTTTGTAGTAGAGATGGGGTTTCACCGTTTTAGCCAGGATGGTCTCTCCATCTCCTGAACTGGTGATCCACCTGCCTCAGCCTCTCAAAGTGCTGGAATTATAGGCATGAGCCACCGCACCTGGCTGTTTATGCCCATTTTAAATAAAATGAGGGAAACTAGAAGTCTGTAATTCTTAGTTTAATTATTTATACTTATTTTCTTGTATCAGCTTCTGGAAAAGATGAGTGGGTTCATCATGTGGTAATGAGTAAAACCTCAGTCAATAAATATGTGACTTTCTATTTATCTGTTTTCAGGCTGAGAGCACAGACGAAACAACAACTCTTAGAATATAAATCAATCCTTGATGCAAGTAAGTATTTTCATTTTCAAATTAGGGTTTTTGTTTGTTTGTTTTCTGAGACAGGGTCTTGCACTGTCATCCAGGCTGGAATGCAGTTGCATAGTCTCCGGCTTACTGCAACCTTAGCCTCCTGGGCTCCAGCAATCCTCCCACCTTAGCCTCTGAAGTAGGTGGGACCACAGGCACATGCCACCGCACCCAGCTAATTTTTTTTTTTTTTTTTTTTTTTTTTTTTGAGACGGAGTTTCACTCTTGTTACCCAGGCTGGAGTGCAATGGCACGATCTCAGCTCACCGCAACCTCCGCCTCCTGGGTTCAGGCAATTCTCCTGCCTCAGCCTCCTGAGTAGCTGGGATTACAGGCATGCGCCACCATGCCCAGCTGATTTTTTGTATTTTTAGTAGAGACGGGGTTTCACCATGTTGACCAGGATGGTCTCGATCTCTTTGACCTCGTGATCCACCCACCTCGGCCTCCCAAAGTGCTGGGATTACAGGCTTGAGCCACCGCGCCCGGCCACTAATTTTTTGTATTTTTTGTAGAGACAGGGTTTTGCCATCACATCCAGCCTCAAGTAAGATTTTGTGAGTTTGATTTCTCAAGGGAAAATAAAATTAATTTTATCAAAAATTATTTATATATGTCTAGTATGCCAAAACTGGTAAACAAACATGCAGTATATTTATGAAGTATAAGTGTGACGAAGGAAACAATGGCATGATAAGAGGGAGGGGCTTCTTTACATAGAGATAGCTTCTCTAAGATGATTTTAGAGCTCAGATCCAACTGAGAAGAAAGTTTACATTCCTGTAGTCTTTGTTTTCTCTATATAGCTAATACCATTTTTAAGGGATTGTGACATCCAAAAACTTGGGCAGATTTAGTTAACATTGTTAGAATTTCTATACCTAGGAGAAGACAGATGTATGGCAGGCCACAGGAAGTTTAGTTGTAGCTTTTAAAAGAAGATGTTTATCTAAAATTGACTATCTGCACTTTTAGAGGCCAAGGCAGGAAGATCACTTGAAGCTAGGAGTTTGAGATTAGTCTGGGCAACAAAGTGAGACCTCGTCCCTACAAAAATAAAAAAATTTAGCCGGATGTGGTGATACGTACCTATAGTCCCTCTGGGACTCACTGCAGCCTCCAACCCCTGGGCTTAAGTGATTGAACCACTGTACTGGACTCCACTCCACTGGGTGATAGAGTGAGACTGTCAAGCAATTAATAGATAGAGAAATAAATATTGATTCTTTTACCATTTAAAATATATATATATATATATTACTGAGACTTCATTGGTTAAAGGATTGTTTTTTACAATATAGGCATCTATTTTAAGGGTATAATTTGATGAGTTTTGACAGATGTCTAAATCTGTATAATCACTACCATAATCATGATACAGAGCATTTTCGTCTGAGCATGGTGAATCAATCTGTAATCCCAGCACTTTGGGAAGCCAAGGCGAGAGAATTGCTTGAGCCCAGGGCAACCAGCCTAGGCAATATAGCAAGACCCCATCTTTACAAAAAATAAAAAAACAAATTGGCCGGGTATGGTACCATGCACCTGTAGTCCCACCCAGCTGAGGTAGGAGGATTGCTTGAGCCTGGGATATCAAGGCTGCAGTGAGCCAAGATCACAACCATTGCACTCCAGCCTGGGTGACACAAGGAAACCCTGTCTCCAAAAAACTAAGATATAGGGTGCTGTAATTCCAGCACTTTGGGAGGCTGAGGCAGACAGATCATGAGGTCAGGAGATCAAGACCATCCTGGCTAACACGGTGAAACCCTGTCTCTACCGAAAATACAAAAAATTAGATGGGAATGGTGGTGGGTGCCTGTAGTCCCAGCTATTCACGAGGCTGAGGCAGGAGAATCGCTTGAACTCGAGAGGCAGAGGTTGCAGTGAGCCGAGATCGCGCCACTGCACTCCAGCCTGGGCGACAGCAGAGAGAGACTCCGTCTCAAAAAAAAAAAAAGAAAAAGATATAGAACATTTTCATACCAAAATAATCCCTTGTGCCACTTCACAGTCAGTCCCCATCCTTTCCTCCGGCAACCACCAGTTTTGATTTCTGTTACTGTAGAATTGTCTTCTAGAGTTGTGCTGTCCAGTATGGTAACCACTAGCCACATGTGGCTTTTTTTTTTTTTTTTTTTTTTTTTTTTTAAGACAGAGTCTTTATCTTGTTGCCAAGGCTGAAATATAATGGCCTGATCTCAGCTCACTGCAAACTCCGCCTCCCGAGCTCAAGGGATTCTCCTGCCTCAGCCTCCGAAGTAGCTGGGATTACAGGCACCTGCCACCACTAGTGGCTAATTTCTTGTATTTTTAGTAGAGATGGGATTTCACCATGTTCACCAGGCTGGTCTCTTAACTCCTGACATCAGGTGATCCACCACCTCGGCCTCCCAAAGTGTTGGGATTCTAGGTGTGAGCCATCGTGCCCAGCCACACATGTGGCTTTTCAAAGCTAATTAAAATTAAATAAAATTTAAAATTAGGTACATATCAAATGCTCAGTAGCCACATGTGGCTAGTGGTTACCCTATGGGATAGCATAGATATGAAGCCTTTCCATCATCACAGGAAGTTCTGGGCTTCTTTTCTGTTCCATTGAGGTATTTGTTGATCCTTGCACAAGTACCACATTGTCTTTGTTGAGTTTTGTTTTGTTTTTTTTTTGAGACTGTCTCGCTCTGCCACCCAGGCGGAATGCAGTAACAAGATCTTGGCTCACTGCAACCTCCACCTCCTGGGCTCAAGCAATCCTCCCAACTCAGCCTCCCAAGGAGCTGGGACTACAGGCATGTGCCATCATGCCTGGCTAATTTTTAGTAGAGACAGAGTTTCACTATGTCGCCCAGGCTGGTCTCAAACTCCTGGACTCAAGCAATGTGGTTGGTTAGTCATCATTGTCCTGGACTCAAGCAGTATGGTTAGTCATCATTGAGATGGGTCGTAAATGTAAAATACAGACAGAATAAAAGTGAAATATTTTGTTAATAATATTAAATTGACTACACATTGAAATAATATTTTGGCTCTATTGGGTTAAATAAGTATATTAAAATTAAATTTCACTGTTTCTCTATAATGTAAAAATGACATTTTAAATGATGTTTTTGCCCTTGTGGCTTACGTTATATTCCCTTCGGACAGCATTGTTCTAAAATGTTAGTAACTTCAAAAAATTATTTATTTGCAGGTGAAGAAAAAACTCCAGAACAAATTATGCAAGAAAAGCAAATCGAAGCGTATGTTATATTTTAAAATTTTGTTTATGGTCTTTACTAAGATTTAATCATATTTTCTATTATTTCATTGTTGTTAGAGATGGAATCTAACTATCACACAGGCTGGAGTGCAGTGGTGTGATCATAGTTCATAGAAGCCATAACCTCCTGGGTTCTAGGGAACCTCTGGCCTCAGCCTTCTGAGTAGCTGGAACTACAGGATAATTGTACCACACCCAGCTATTTTTTTTTTTTTTTTTTTTTATATTTTGGGGCTGAATGCCTGTAATCCCAGCACTTTGGGAAGCTGAGCTGGATAGATCACCCGAGGTCAGGAGTTCAAGACCAGCCTGACCAACATGGAAAAACCCCGTCTCTACTAAAAATACAAAATTGGCCAAGCTTGGTGACGCATGCCTGTAATCCCAGCTACTTGGGAGTCTAAGGCAGGAGAATTGCTTGAACCTGGGAGGTGGAGGTTGTAGTGAGCCGAGATCGCACCATTGCACTCCAGCCTGGGCAACAAGAGTGAAACTCTGTCCTAAAAAATATGTATATATATATTTTATAGAGATAGGGGCCTCACTTTGTGCCCAGGCTGTTCTCAAACTCCTGGCCTCAAGTGATCCTCCACCTTGGCCTCCCAAAGTTCTGGGATTGTAGGCAAGAGCCACTGAGCCTGGTCATAATCTCATTTTCTATGCTATAACATTGTCTTTCTTTTTCCTTTCCTTTATTTTTCCAAGTAATTTGTGATGAATATATTGGGAAATTGTTATATTTGGGATGGAGATTTATATGTACACAAATTATCGCGTTAGAACTTTCTGGCCTCCCTTTTTACAAGATACTGAGTCAAGTAGCTCAGGGGCATTAGTTTACCAAGTGTGTAAGTACACGTTGGTGGAACACTTTTATTTAAATAAATGTGTTTTACTTTTTTCAAGGGCTTGCTTTATACATTTATTTCAATGTCTTTTTCTGATATTGCTGAAATTCTTTTGCTCATGTTTCTTTGATAGTAAAATTGAAGAACTGGAAAATGAAATTGAAGAGGCGAAAATTGCTTTTGAGATAAAACAGCTTGCAATTGACAGGTAATTATTACATTTTAAATGTAAGCATTGTAAACTGAAAGCAAAATGGATATGAGGGCAAAGTGGAGGGAATCTTTTAACTGGGCTAAATGGCTTAGTCAAGCACAATGATGATTAGATAATGGTCATACAAATATTTTATTAATATTATTTTTTTTTGAGATGGAGTCTTGCTCTTTTGCCAGGCTGGTGTACAATGGTGTGATCTTGGCTTACTGCAATCTCCGTCTCCTGGATTCAAGTGATTCCCCTGCCTCAGCCTCCTGAGTAGCTGGGACTACAGGTGTGCCCCACCACAGCCGGCTAATTTTTTGTATTTTAGTAGAGACGGGATTTCACCATGGCCAGGATGGTCTCGATCTCCTGACCTCATGATCCACCCACCTCGACCTCCCAAAGTACTAGGATTACAGGCTTGAGCCACAGCTCCCAGCCTAATATTATTATCATTTTTTTAATTTGGCAAGGTCTCACTCTTGCCCAGGCTGGAGTACAGTGACATGATCACTGCTCACTGTAGCCTCAACCTCCCAGGCTCGAGTGATCCTCCTGCCTCAGCCTCTGGAGCAGCTGGGACTGCTCCAGAGGCATGCACAACCACGCTTGGCTAATTTTTTTTATTTTTTATAGAGACAGGGTCTCACTATGCCAGGCTGGTCTTGAACTCCTAGGCTCAAGCAATCTTCTTGCCTCACCCTCCCCAAAATGCTGGGATTATAGGTGTAAGCTACCAAGCCCAACTTGGTCACAAAAATTTTGAGCCCTGAGAGAAAATTTAAATTATAGACTCTCCTCAATTTGCTGTGGGTTTAGGTACTGATAAATTCATTGTAAGTTGAAAATACAGTAAGTGAAAAATGCATTTAATACACCTAATCTGGCCAGGCACCATGGCTTATGCCTGTAATCCCAGCACTTTGGGTGTCCGAGGCATGCAGATCACCTGAGATGAGGTGTCAAGACCAGCCTGGCCAACATGGTGAAACCCTGTCTCTACTAAAAATACAAAAGTTAGCTGTGTGTGGTGGCACATGCCTGTAATCCCAGCTACTAGGGAGGCTGAGGCAGGAGAATATCTTAAACCCAGTAGGCAGAGGTTATGGTGAACTGAGATTGCACCACTCCACTCCATCCTGGGTGACAGAGCAAGACTCCCTCTCAAAAAAAAAAAAAAAAAAGACTGTTTTAAAATCTATAGTCATATGTGGTTTTATATTCCCTAAGTCCTTTCATTTTAGGACCATCCTGATCTTTTTAGTGCCTTAATGCTTCCACTGGCTTTGCGCAAAGGTAGATGGTTTAGAGAACTCATTCAGCTTAGGCCAGATTTCAGATTTACCTGGCTTCTCATTCTGGCATTGTATACCCCCATGCAACAGCCCTATCCATCTTGGTGTTATTTTATATTTCTATGTTTTATTTCTCAAAATATTTCCCATATAATAATATTTTAAAACCTATTTGTTTTATGTATAGTTGATCAGTCTTTGTCATGTTTTGAATTTTTTTAATATACCACAAATGTTATCCATGTTTTATAATGCAAGCTTTTTTTCTCTCATAGGATAAGACTTTCAACTGCACTTAAAAAAAACCTGGAGAAAATTAGCACAGAGTCTAGGTATGATTTTTTTTTTCCTCTGGATTCGGTAAGGATGGCATCTGCATAGTGACTTACAGTTTTGTGAATTTTTAAACTCATTATTGCCAACTGTCTTTATCTGGGGAATAAAAAAAAGTGATGACATTTTTGTAGGCCTTCTCCAGAATTACGGCAACTTTATAGTACTAATGATACTTTGTTCCATATGGACTGTAACTGTACGAAGCAGAAGAGTTTATCCAGAAGGTTGGAAAAATTTAAGGAAAGCTTTGAAAGTTCTTTTTCTTCAATATTTACTATAAACCAGGAACAGGGCTATCTCATTTAATCCATCAAAACCCAATGAGATAGGAAGCATACTCCTCAGTTTTTATTGGTAGAAATGAGTTTGTTTGATCAAACAATTTCCCAAGGGATATGATATAAAGACTCTAGTAGGTCAGGTCCTCTGTATCCAGGTATCTGGCCTCAGAGGTCTTACCTATGATCTTATTTCCCAAAGCTCTTGTGATAATATATCCCCTTCCCTTGAGCACCAGAAAAGTTCCAAGATAAGTCTAGGCACTTTTGTTTTTTTTGAGACAGGGTCTTGCTCTGTCACCCAGGCTGAAGTGCAGCTCACTACAACCTCCACCTCTTGGGTTCAAGCGATTCTCATGCCTCAGCCTCCTGAGTAGCTGGGATTACAGGTGCCTGCCATAGTGCCCAGGTAATTTTTATATTTTTAATAGAGACAGGGTTTCACCGTTGGCCAGGCTGGTTGCATCTAGGCACTTCTATCTTAAGTGTTTTAGCCCACACTGATACACATTTTCCCCATATTCCCGCTAAATCCAGATTACATAAATCCAAAAATCTGAATTTGAGCATTCATAATTCTTGCTCTTCCATAAAGATTACAGAGGCTCATGCCTGTAATCCCACCACTTTGGGAGCCTAAGACAGGAGGATAGCTTGAGCCCAGGCATTTGAGATCAGCCTGTGCAACACAGGGAGGCCTCATCTCTATAAAAAAAATTTTTTTTTGTTTCTTTGGTTTTGTTTTCTTTTGTTTTTGAGACGGAATCTTGCTCTGTTGCCCAGGCTAGAGTGCAGTGGCGCGATCTCGGCTTGCTGCAACCTCCGCCTCCTGGGTTCAAGCAATTCTCCTGCCTCAGCCTCCTGAGCAGCTAGGATTACAGGTGCCGCCACTACACCTGGCTAATTTTGGTATTTTTTGGTAGAGATGGGGTTTCACCATCTTCACCAGGCTGGTCTTGAACTCCTGACCTTGTGATCCACCCTCCTAGGTCTCCCAAAGTGCTGGGTTTACATGCGTGAGCCACTGCACCTGACCACTACAAAAAATTTTTTTTAATAAGCCAGGTGAGGCCAGGCACGGTGGCTCAAACTTGCAATCCCAGCACTTTGGGAGGCCGAGGTGGGCAGATCATGAGGTCAGGAGTTCGAGACCAGCCTGACCAATATGGTGAAACCCTGTCTCTACTAAAAATATAAAAATTAGCCGGGCATGGTGGCAGGTGCCTGTAATCCCAGCTACTAGGGAGGCTGAGGCAGGAGAATCGCTTGAACCCAGAAGGCAGAGGTTGGGTGAGCTGAGACCGCTCCATTATACTCCAGCTTGGATGACAGAGCGAGACTTCAACTCAAAAAAAAAAAAAAATCAGCCAGGCATGGTAGAGCTGCCTGTAGTCCTATCTACCCCAGAGGTGGTGGCGGGAGGAAGGATCAGCCTCCTGTCTTGATCCTAGGAGGTCATGGGGCTACAGTAAGCCGTGATCTCGCCACTGCACCTTAGCCTGGGCAATAGTGAGATCCCATCTCAAAAAAAAAAAAAAGAACACTATTGAGTTAAAGGTATGAGGTGCAGGACAGCAGGACAGATTCATCATATTGTCACTGAAATGTCAGAGATTTGGTCTAGGCCCTGTTGCTTGCCGCATAGAAATGTAATCACTGATGTGAGTATTGTCAGGAAGAAGGCTTTATTTGGGTACTGTAGCCAAGGAGAGGGGAGATCAGTCTCATCTCCTAGATGGACTAAAATTAAGGGGGTGTTTTGTTTTTTTGAGACAGGGCCTTACTCTGTTGTTCAGGCTGAAGAGCAGTGGTATGATCTTGACTCACTGCAACCTCAATCTCCCAGGTTCAAGCAAGCAATCAGCCTTCTATGTAGCTGGGACTACAGGCGTCAACCACCATGCCTGGCTAATTTTTTTATTTTTTGCAGAGATGAGATTTTGCCATGTTGCCCAGGCTGGTCCTGAACTCAAAGTGATCCACCTGCATGTTGGCCTCCCAAAGTGCTGGGATTACAGGCATGAACCACCACACCCTGCCAAATTAAGGGTTTATATAGCAGGGAAGATATGTAACCATGTATGGGAAAACAGGAATTAGGGAGGGGTAAGGAAGAGAAGTTAGTCAATAGGAAGCAGGTAGTTGGTTAGACAGTCATGATGGGTGAGGAGTCTGGTGTCTCATTCTTCAGAGGGGGTGATCTTGTAAGTTTCAGTACCTTGATACTATCTGGGAGGCCTGATGGTTGGTTTCCTGAGAAAGGAATTCAGATAAGATAATTGTAACTTTCTCAAGTTTTAAGACTGGGAGGATCAGTTTTTATATTCGTTAAAAAGAAACCATAAACATCAATTCTGTGGGACAATTGGGCCAGTTTCACTGTTGACACCAAAATAAAATAAAATAGTAAAATAAAACTTAATAGTACCCAATCAGAATTTTACTTAATTTTTTTTTTTTTTTTTACTTAATAGTAAAATAAAACTTAAGCATACCCAATCAGAAACTGATAACTAGAGATGTTCCACTTTAACCAATCAATTATATTTTCTTATTTTTTTGGAGACAGTCTTGCTTTGTTGCCCAGGCTGGAGTGCAATGGCATGATCTCAGCTCACTGCAACCTCCACCTCCCGGGTTCAAGCAATTCTCCTGCCTCAGCCTCCCAAGTAGCTGGAATTACAGGAGTGTGCCACCATGCCCAGCTGACTTTTTTTGTATTTTTAGTAGCGATAGGGTTTCACCATGTTGGCCAGGCTAGTCTCCAACTCCTGACCTCATGATCCATCCACCTCAGCCTCCCAAAGTGCTGGGATTACAGGCATGAGCCACCACACCCGGCTCTAACAAACCAATTATATTTCCTTCCTTTTTTTTTTTTTTTTTTAAAATAAAGATGGGGTTTCACCATGATGGTCAGGCTGGTCTTGAACTCCTGACCTCAGGTGATCCACCCACCTCGGCCTCCCAAAGTGCTAGGATTACAGGCTTGAGCCACCGAGCCCGGTCAATTTTCTTTCTTTTATGAACACCTTATAAAAGCTTAATCACTCACCTCCCACAGTAGAGCACCAAACAGCTTACAATCCTGTTCTGCCAGATGCATGAATTGTCTGCTCAAATAAACTTGTTATATTTTAATATGCCTAAGTTTATGTTTTTTTTTT